TCCTGCTCCACAGTAGGACCTGGGAAGCAAGCAGGCTGGCTGCATTCACAGGGCCACAAGTAGGAGATCAGCCACCTCGTTGCCTGATTTGCAAGTATAAATCAGATTTGTTTGGGCATGCAAACCAAAAGCTGGGAATAACACATGAGAAAAGTTTCAAAAACACCTACTTCTCGGCACGGCCTGGGATAATATGTCAGCCCAAGCCTCAGTCTGCTCAGCTCTGCTTCAAGGAAAGTGCAGCCAATGCAGGTACAACGGTAGAGGAAGACCCTCCCTGCCTCTCTATAAAGCTTCTGGCTGTATAGAGACACAGATTTCTTGGTGGTCTCATTAGGTCTCAAAATCGCAAGGCAATACTCACGTAAAATATGCAAAGCAGAATTACGAGTTCTTGAGATGACCTGCTGAATTTGGCATCACCCAGAAGTTATAGCTGTCTTGCAATTTTCCAAGAACACAATGTCCAGATAGTCCATTGAATGCACGTGTTCCCTGTGAAGTACATGTGCATGCATTCATTCTTGTGTTCCTCATTCTCTGTGTAGCTGGAAAAAGAGTGGTTTTATGCTTTTTTTTTCTTTTTTTTTTTTTTTTCTCTTTCTTTCAGCTGATGTATTTTCTCCTGAGTGCCCTGGGTCTGGTTGCCTGTGTTTTGGCAGTGGCTTTTGCTGCACACCATTATTTGCAGATGACAAAATTTACCTGCGATACCATCCTCGAGTCCTGCCAGTGCAAGCTGGACACCGCAGACCCCCTCGGTAGGACCTTCGTCTACCAGGACGCAGCCGACTGCGGCAGCCTCACCAGTATGCTCAACCTGTACTTACTTCTGCAGATGGTTCTCAATCTGATCGCGGCCCTGGTGTGTCTGTCGGCATGCTTCGTGATGTGGAAACACAGATACCAGGTCTTTTACGTGGGCGTTCGGTTCTACCCTTTAACCGCTACTGAAGGCCAGCAACAGAAAGTATAGGGTCTGGGCTGGCGGGGGTTTGTAGCCTGGGAATGGAAAATGTCAGCACACTGCCACCACAGACACCACGGGTGGATGAGTGTTTATAAGGTTTTTGACAAGGAAAAACGTTCACACAGTTTTAATGAATATCTTTTTCAATCATTTTAAGAGCATTTCATACGGCTGCTCTTGCAAAAGGTCCCTTGTGAGACTACCTAGAGGTCACAAAGTCCTAAAGATGCAGCCGTACAAATACTCACCAAAGAGGATCTTTAATAGCCATAGACAAAATGAGAGCTTAAAAAAAATAATTGGGAACTCATCTGCAGGGCTACAGCAGTTAAGAAGTAGGGTCCATTTCCCTTGCTGGTAGATACCTGTTCTTGCCTTCAGAGAAGCTATACCGACTTCTAACAGATAAGGATCTGGTCCAAACTGCTTAATTATAATTATGCTGATCATGTTTAGGGAATATATTGTCTCTCAGATGCTCTGGGTATAATCCACGCTAACCTGATGGGGATTTACCATATGGAAAAGTAATAAGGGAGGTCAAGACCTCTTCAAATGCAGGCTGAGACCAACAGCAAAGTGAATATATTGACAACTGCCATAAAAAATATACATAAGACTTTTCTGAGTAACTAATGACATAGTCCCATTACTAATAAACAACAACGTGAGAGGGTTGACAAATGGTGATTCGGTGGGCCCTGCTTGAGACCCCAGACAGATTTCTGAAGTATGAGCGCTCGCCACATTGTGAGAAAAGATCAATTTAAGAAACCTCGAGTTGCGCTCCTAAAGTGGAAGACCCTAAATCACTAGTCACATTGAAAACTATGTTGACATTGCTGTAATTTCAGGCTCCCAAGCCCGGCGTCTAGCCAGTTCCACCAATTATACTCCAAGCACAAAAGGCCAAATGCATTTTTGGTGTAACTCCTCTGAAGACAATCAGCCTTACACACCAGCAGTGGAGTTGGGCCAACAGCCCTGAAAGATATATCCATGCAACAATGAATGTTTTTAAAATGGGGTGGAGGGAGGGAAGCAAGAAGAGACTGCCAGTCTCCTGAAGGCATCGTTTATAATAATGAGGGCAAGAGAATAACGATTTCTTAATAAGCAGCATAAAATAACAAACCACATTCAAACAGCGCTTTTTCACCCCGAAAATGTGGCCCTAGAAGTGCTTTATATCTTATTAGCCTTATACCAAGCCTTGTATCAAGCCAAGTTTGTCACTTTGTCCCTTGAACTGTCATTTCCACTTGCACCGCGTGGACTTCTAAATGTAGGAGCAAGTCTGAGTCGGCAGCATTTTGCACTGCCTGCAGATAGCTGTGCAAGGGCAAGGCAGCTGGTGCTCACACCCTGCCATGACTAGGGATTTCCCGATCCCTGCCAGAGCAAGGGTGTTTCTGAGGTGGGGTGGAGCAATCACATGCCAGAAAAAACTGTGTCACAGTCGTTAGCAAGGAGGAAGCAAATAAAACTTCTATAAGGTTTCAAAGGAGCAAAAACTTTATTTTTCTGCAGCAAAAATATCCACCAGGGAGTCAAAAACCCAGTCTGTCAAAAAACTAGTTGTCTAAGTAGCTCCAATCTTACCCAAAAACTATCTCCCATATGGTGATCACACGCCATCCCAGGGCTAGACCAGCATACCTCCAGAGTCAAAAGACCACAGCATAGTTAGGTCTCCTGTGGTCCACCTAGAGCACTGCTTGGTGTACGTGCTCAAGTTTTTGTCATGGAAAGTGCTTCTAGAGTAGACGTAGCGTCACCAAGGTCCTCTCTGCCAAGCTGCAAAGCGAGGAGCTTCAGAAAATGAAGGTTTTTGAGACCAGCTTCCAAATGGCCTTTTTTATGCACCTAAAAATAACAGTCACTAGTAAGTGTGGCTGCAGGGCACATTTGCAAGAGTGCCTGTTCGCTTGCCTATGTGTTGCCACCCACCCGAAGTCCTAAGCCTGGCTCCCAGGCATGCTCAGGGCAAGTTGAGACAGCGGCGGAGTGCGCGGGCAGACTGGCGATGTAAGACCTGGCTGCCGGCATCGGCGGGGCTGTCCTTCTGGTGGCAGGAACCAGCCCGTCTCCCCCAACTCCGGCAGGGCACACTGCAAGCAGCGCTCATGGACCCGTGCCCTGGCCAGCCTCCTGTACAAGATGGATACGTAGGGGTGCCTCTCACCCGATGCCGACACTCAGACGTTGGTTTGCCCTCCATCCCTCGCACGACCCCAGCTGTGCTCGCTGACAAAGTGTAGGGCAGAGGATATACCTTCCTCCCACCTGCGCAACCCTTGCTGCGCCACTCCTCCCTCCGGCCAAAAATGCAGGCTCTCCTCTCTGCAAAGAAGATAACAAGAAGCGAGAGAGGGACTAGAGGAGGTTGAACGACAGCTGAGCTTTGGGGCCTCCTCCCACCCTTGCTGCCAGGCACTGCGCCCCAACGGCTGGCGAAGCAAGAGGCAGGCTGTGCGGGCAGAGCAGGGCATGCTTCCCACCCTGCCCTTTCCCACCTGTCCTTGCTGTTCAGAAGATAACTTGGTCTGCAGCGCTTTAGCTCGGGCTGCGCTGCGTGCGGGCTGGTGGCAGTGAGCGGGTGCAGGAGAGGGCCGGCTGGCCCCGGCCAAGCGGCGTTTCCAGCAGAGCCAGGCTTTTGTCTCCTTAATCCTTTGACCTCTGGCTCACCCACATGTTTTCATTGCCTGTCTCCCGTCACCTCCCAGGCACTGGGGCTCCCAGAGGCCACCCCTGTTAGATGGGGCTGGGCTCACATCACCTGGCCTCTACGTACTCATCCCCGGGCTTAAAATTGCTGGGACTCTTCTAGAGGATGAAGGAAGTGGCGGTGATGATCACAGGGTTGCTGCAAATGCCTTCAGCACCGCGACAGGGACAAGAAGGGAGATCTGGATAAGAGAGCCTGCTCCTCTTAGCAAGCCGTGCATCTCCATAACAGCACACCCTCCGCTTCGAGCCGCCGAGTCTGGTTCACTAATCAGCGCATTACAGCTTAACCTTTTTCTCTGGAAGAAAGCAATATTCATCATCTATTCTGTTGGTGTTTTAATGCTTAATGAATAAATACAGGGCATTTTGATCTAGTGAAGACTAACTTCTGTATTTCCTGTTTATATATCTCAAGAGCGTAAAATCAAAACAGGAGAGATGGGGAAACGGACGGGGTAGCCTTTGGAACCGGTTTCCCCCTGGATGTGGTTTTACATGTGTCTTGCTCGGATCAAGAATTTCAGAAAGTACTAATTAAAGGATTTTCACCTACCAGAGCATATTCAGACAGCTCCCAGCCTTTTCCCAGTGTCAGAGTCCACACAGACTGCACTGGGAGAAAGCCTGGGACTAAAAGGCTCCAAAAGGACAGAGGTGTTGAAGAAAAGAACATTTTTTTTTTAATGTCCTGGAAATTTATTCTCTGAGTGAATTCCGCAGAAAGGGGTAGGATTAAACCGCTATGGACACAGAGAAATTGCAAAGGGCTCGATGTAATTTACTCTCACAAACCCAGGTGTGATTCTCATTTGCACCCTGGCCACTTTACACTGTTTTCACAGTGTAAGTTGTAAAGACGGCATCAATCATTTTTACACCTACTTTATGGCCATTTTACACAGCTAAAAGGGCCCTTTGTGTAAATGAGAACTCAAGCCCTAGAGAATTTAATAGAGAGGAGATCCTTTCTATAGACTGTGCTAGACCCTCTAATAGGGTCTATTACTGGGATATAACTCCGTGCCGGATTTTATAGCTTGGCTTAAAGATCATCAGTCTCGATTAAATTCAGTTCTGCAAAACTTTTCCAAAGGCTGTAACCCCCCGGTGACACGACTGCTCCCCCACCCCGAGCACACACAGACAGTGATGGTGTTGCATGGATAACTGCTTGTTTTTTAAAAGGAGAAGCAGCAGCTACCACTTTCCTCTGGCTCTGAGGCATTTTGATGTTGTGCTATGCAAATACCAGAGCGACAATAACGGCAACAAAAAGGGAACCGAGACACGGTGCCTTACATGGAGCCAAAATGTCACATTCTCAACCCAGCCAGGCGCTGAAGTGGCACCCACTCCCGAGGAGGGACTGCACTTTGT